CAAAGATATGAAATTAATAATTACATATACTGTATATGAAAAACGTATTGATAAAACATCAAGCATTTTTCAAGATTACAATATATAAAAACTTAAAACTTATTGTACAGAAAACAGGTCCTCTGGAAAAGATACTCACCAGGAAAATTGTTACCACTAAGGTTCCCTTTAATCTAGGTCATTTTTTACTCATGCATGAATGGACAAAAAACACTAGATAACAGGGTGTGTTGGCAACCACAGGAAAGGCACATTTATACCCCCCTCAGGTCCATCTAGGAAAAAAAAAATATACAAATACCAAATGGTAGAAGAAATATAATAATGAAGATTGGATGAAGTCTTTTTCCCCATTTTGTGTTTTTTACTGTTCCAGCAAATCCTTCTGGATGGTCACTTCATATGTTTTGTATGTACAGATTTTACCTGTTATTTGATATTGGAGGAAATCTACCTTTCCTTCATTGCAAGTTTCATATCTATTTGGATCATTCTTCAGGGATCTTTATATTGGTATGTTGCATGAACTCACAAGTTTGTAGACTTAATATCTTCATTATTATATTTCTTATACCATTTGGTACCTGCATATATTTTTTCCTAGATGGACCTGAGGGGGTATAAATGTGCCTTTCCTGGGGTTTCCAACACACCCTATTATCTGGTGTTTTTGTCCATTCATGCATGGGTAAAATTGGCCTAGATTAAAGGGAACCTTAGTGGTCAGTTTTTTCTGGTGAGTGTCTTTCCAGAGGATTTAAACCTGTTTTCTGTACAATAAATTTGTATATATTGTAATCTGTATATCTAATCTTGAAAAATGCTTGATGTTTTATTAATGCATTTTCAAATACAGTATTTGTAATTATTAATTTCATATCTTTGCATTTTTTATCTTTTATAGTGGAATCCTTTTGTATAAAATTTCCCGTATTCTCCTGAAGCCATGGATGGCGAAACATGTTGAGAATGGAAACATATGCAATTATGAAATATATGGATACCTAGTTTTTTTTTAAAATTTCTGTTGCTCTAAATGTCTGCTTTATTGTCATATCAATAAATTGTATTTTTATATATATTGGTACAGGTTTGCTTAATTCAGAACCGTAAAAATCCCTTATTATTTAGTTCAGAGGTAGGCAACCTTTAAAAAGGGTAGAGATCTACCTGAAAGATCACCGGGCACAGTGCTGCCTCCTCTCACACCTGGTTTAAACCTCTAATTGCCATAGTACTGTGTCACCATTGCATGCATTGCACAACTATCATGGGTTTAAATCAGGTGGTGAGGAGGCAACATATCGCCTCCTCGCAACTTGTCAAACGCACTGGGATTGATTTGCAGAGGAGCAGAAGTGCCTACTGCACCTGTGAATGAGCCCTTAGTTGTAATCGGCAGCGGCACCCTAAGGTCTTTTTCACATGTAAAGTTGGGGGGGGGGTGCTAAAACTGCTAAAATCGCAGTTTTTACTGCTCCCCCCAATCCCTATCCCCTTTAGCTGAGGAGGCAGCAGCCAAAGGTGTACACATGCAGCAGCAGGATTTACACCCCCTGTTGCTTTTTGTGGGTGCTACTGCCTGTCAACCAAGACCCATTCAAGTAAATGGGTCACTCTGCAAGTGTCCTTCAACTGCATGTTTCTGTGGGGCCCAAGGGCTTAAAGCAGGTGGTGAGAAAGCAACACAACACTACCTTGTTTGCTGTACTGCACAAGAGTAGGGCAACTGCAGAGCGGTTTCATTCACTTGAATGGGTCATGCTTGGCAGGTGCTACACCCACCAACCATGACAGGGCGTAGGAGCAGCACTGCAGAGGAGACATCAACTTATGTGACTCTTGCTCCCTACTACAGTTCCAACTTTACAGTAGTTCCTCTGCATTGCACTCTGATGCTGTGGGATGGCGTGTCAGCAAGCCCAGACCAAGATCTTCCAGTCACCTGGCCAAGATCTACTGGTTGCTGACCCCCTATTTAGTTGTTTGAATTGTCTAGGTTTCGTAAAAGCTTGGTCCAGAGCTTGCTCAGCGTTGGGTATATCCACCAAATGCGCATGACATCACCCTCAGTCTCATTGTCGAGGTTTCGTAAATGCTTGGTCCAGAGCTTGCCCAGCGTTGGGTATATCCACCAAATGCGCATGACATCACCCTCAGTGTTATAAACTCTGACGCATGCATTGGGATGGGATGAATGATGATATACTAACCTGGATGGGACTATGTACCAATGGGAGCATGTACCTTGAATGCTGATTCTAAAGAAGTGATGTTAATTGAACATGGGAAAAACTGGGTGCCAGATCTACTGCCAGTCATCCTTAGTCGTTGGTGCTCTTTAGGTCTTTTTCCCACTTGCAGAAGTAAGTGTCAGCTGTGGGGTCTCTAGCATCTGAAAAATGGCACCTATGCCACCAACACTATTCATCCTGAAGTTTACTAGGTGTGCTTTCTGAAGTCTGTGGTGTCCCGTAAGGCTTTCAATCATTACCATTGGTGAGAATCAGATAGCTATCCATTACCTGTAGACAGTTTGGTGGGGGGGGGGGGGGGGGGGGGGGGGGGGGGGGGGGGGGGGGGGGTGTGTGTTGTTGTTGTGTGTTGGGGGGGGGGGGGGGGGGGGGGGGGGGGGGGGGGGGGGGGGGGGGGGGGGGGGGGGTTGTTGTACACTTCTCTTTGTAAAAGTCTTGGGAGCCGAATCCTTCCTTTCTGCATCTCTCAGTGGCTGTAACAGCTCAGGCAAGATGTGCTACAGATTGGTTGGATCCCATGAAAAGTTTCCATAGGAGATAAGTTTACATATGTCTTTCATACTGTGTTGAGCACCAAGAGGAAGATGTCGGTACAGACAAATTCTGGTTTTGATCATTATTTTTAATAAATGTGTTGTAAACATATCGCAAATATACAATCTCATTCATACCAAACCTTGCATACACCTCTTGTTCATAATACCTTGTATAAATATAGGGACTCACACATTTACATGACTTGTTGCATTTATAAGTGAAAGTTCATTTCCAAAGCATGTGAAAATAAATTATGCATACTGCAGATGCATTTCTCTGTTTTCTCATATAAATATAGAGCTTAATATACATCTTAATATAGCATGTAAAAATAGGACATCTACAAACTGCATTTGGTTCAAAAGGTAAAATGCATAAATTGGCAATTTCTTTGCCAAAGAACACCTTTGTGACCTTTAAGGACAGGTTTATCTTTTAAAAACGATGCCCACTTGACCTCTGGACCTCCCAAGCTAAACTGAACTAACCCATCCTCTCCACTTTCAGCTGCTTACTTACCTTGGGAGAGCTGTGGCCCACTCCATCATTTACAGCCCAATTTTATGTCAATGGTGACCAAGTGTGCAGTCACAGCCAGAGTTGAAGAGAATTTATACCAACACGCTATAACACCAGAGTAGGTGCTAACAGCACTACAAAGTAAGTAAGCAGCAGAGGGATTAGGGAGGGAAAAAAAGGCAGAACAGAACAGAGCTCCATTGAACATAAAATCCATGATGCCACAGTATCTGGACATTAAGAGTGAATTGCCTGATGTCTGGTATTTCTATGAGCTTGCATACCCTTTGTCATCTATGGCAGAGGTAGTCCCAAGCACATTGTAGGCTCACTTCTACATCTCACATACTGAGAGCCTACTGTATCAGAGGTTTTCCACAGCCATCAATTACATTCAAACCTGCCCTAGAATCTGACCTGTGAAACATCAAGTAGAGAGTGTAAGTCACATAGCAGACATGAGGATGTTTACCTACTCTTCTTGCATTTGGAGAACCTGACCTGGTCAAAAAGTTTGTAACAGTGCTGAAGCATGGACCCCTGTATCTGTGCGGACTGCATGGATTTGAGGCCAAGGCTGCACACTTTTCTCCCAGCTGAGATAAAACATGTCCTTTCAAACGATAAGTCACCCCCTTTCAAATGATAGGTCATCATTCCCATCTCAAATGCCTGACTCAATTAAACAAGAGTGAGGTCAAGCCTTAATTTTTGGCTTGGAAAAAAAAAAAAAGAGGAGGCACTGTGCATAGTCTTGACCTAGAATCCAATGGGCTTCACATAAATTTGAATGACACAAGGTGCCTGCACTTTACTATTGCTGTTATCTTTCTGCGTTTCTGATTCACTTAGAGAGACATTGTTGCTTCTCCCATTTAGGGCACAGTGGCAGTGTCCATTTAAAGCCCAACCCATGACCACCTTATATTTATCTTTTCAGTGCTCCCTTGACTCTTCTTTTTTTGTGGCCACCACTGCAAAATACCTGGTGCTTCTGGGTATGTTGCAGCCTGTGACCTCCTCCCATGATGCAGTGCTCAGGCCTATCCTGAGCACAGTCACATGAGGTAGGGGTGACATTTGCCACCCAGTATTTTTCTGGTGTGATGGAGGAAGAAGCAGCTGAGGAGCACTGGTGAGGCAAGTATGAAGTTGGGGGGGGGGGGGGTTTTACACATAGACTGTCACTTTGGGCAAGGAGACCACATCTCTAACCAACGCTAAAATTCTCCCTGGATAAAAGGATCATTGGTTTTCACTTGTGTGCTCAAACTGCTCTTTAGCAATGTGCCACCTGATTCTGCATTGTTATTCATGTGTGTAGATATACACACATCGGTTCATAAAATGTATTTATAGATATTATGTGAACATATGCGTAACAAATAAAAAATATTTCTATTTGGTTTGCTTGGCGTGAACCAATGAACTTTTCCCATTTCCTTGGCAAGGTAGCTCTCCTTATGGCATTTACTTTGTTTTTAAGCAGATTAGCTGCACATTCCTTTGGATACAATGTCATTAATTCTAGCACCAGCAGTTATTAAATAGTACATTATGCCCCCCTTTACAACTGGACCAATAACTGTTCAGAAAGGCTGTATGCAAAACAAACAGCAAATACCAAGGCAATTAGTTAGGGACCATTATAATTAGTCATCTTTGTTGTATTGTCTCTTCTCACAAGCATTACTGGTTCTGCTGTGAGCCGATTTGGTATCCATACTTGGCACATTCTTGGTCAAGATCTCTGAGCATTTTGTCCTCCTTTGGTCTATATAGGCGCACAAAGCTGTGAGTCTCTAGCAATATTCGGTTTAGAGTATGTTCATAGTTGACGTGTCTTCTGGCCATCAGAATATATTCCCTTTTCTCCAACAGGTTGGGACAATCACAGATGTTTGGAACCCAGATGTATTCTCTTCTCAGAATAGGGAAATTGTTCTTATATGTCATAACTACCTGTACATCATAACGGGTCTCCTTCCCCACAATCTTCTTGCTGATGATTCTTCCTCGGAACACTGCAAAATTCAAGCAAACATGAAAGCATGTTCATTACCAAAGCTTCAGCCGAACAGGCTCTACTCGTCTGTTGGCAGAGCTAGAAAAGAAATCACATTGACTTACCAAAGTCCTTCTGACAATATTGCTTCATTTTATTTTGCCTTCCTTTGACTTTCCGGCATTTTCCACATTTGTCTGCAATTAGAGAGAGAGTAAACCAGATTATATTTTTAAGCATTAAAGCAAAAGAACCTACACACACTTAACATAAACACATTACAGATGTCTTATATCCTCCAATAGATGTTCAGGTACTTACAGAAGATCTGACACTAAAAAAACAAGCAGTTGTGTCCAAAAAGAATGAGTAAACTTCACAGTTACCTTTTGATTAATTACCAGGTATATGAATAAGATGTATAAATATCTATATATGGGATACAGTTCAAAGGACAATCAAATACAAACAAAAACTGAATTTGGAGCCCCAGCTTATGGTCAGTAACATTTTAGTGACCAGAAATGGCTAACACAAACACACATTACAATATTTATCCAAACGTTCACCTTATCTTTGGAGTGCTTGTGTATCTCCGACACCAAAGTATAGGTTATGCAACCATTACTCACAATTTCCATAGTCAATATGCAGGTGCAGTCTGTACTCCCCTCTGTAGGGGTGCACCTCAAGTGGTATTGAAGAAGGGGAAGGAAATTTTGAGAAACCTAGTGGCCTCTATGACTTCCTGTGGTTTTTAGGAGGCAGCTGTCCAATTGGAGCCCTGCCTGACCTCCATGGCCATCTTTGGTGAGGGCAGTACTTATTTAAGATGCTAGTTTCCTGGGTTGGTACATATTTTGCAAGTGGGTCGTGTAGGGACAGGTTCCCTGTCTGTCAGGGAAAGTGTTTAGAGTCAGGGTGTGGTTATGGAGGAGTAGGGATATTATAGGACTATGCCTATCCTCTGCTATAGGAAGCCTCCCCTTTGGGTGGGGACCGGCCAGGCCCCAATCCCACTCCTTGTTGAAATGCTATCGACATCAACCAAAGTCAACAGACCACCGTTAAAGTTTTGTAAGTGGCTCCGGGCAGTTATGCCTACCCGCTGGGCCTAGTTTTACCTTGTCTGGAATGTTCTATAATACATCTTGACTTCATTGTGATCACTGCTCGCTGACACACCATGATGCACCCTGCTCACAAATATTTGTCTCATCCCTCTCCCCAGGTCTTCTTATTGGTCAGCAAAACTGAATATTACATATGATTGAAAATAGAAGGTACTGGGAGGGGAAAACCAGGCCAAATAGCAAACACAGAATTTGTGCATATTAACTTCAATAGAGTGCTGGCGCCAAAAGAAAAGGTGAGCTCATATGTTCTCTTTAAGGGAATCTAGAAAAATCTAGGAATATTTCTGTGTGAGGCCATAGATTTCAAGCTCTACTCTCTAACTTTCAACTATGAGGAAATGAAGCTGATGATTATCAAGTGCAGAAGCAAAGTACTGGCCACTTCCACAACTGGCTTTCCACAATGGTCTTTTACTTTGAGGCGTATTTCCCAACATTGAGTAGCATTTGCATCTTATTGTCGTCCCCCCCCCCGGTGAACTTTTTACATTAGAACCACTTACAAAAACCAGTTTATTTATGAAAAATGTATAAATAAATTAATTTTAGTTATAACAAAAGACAACATTCCTTAGTAAACAAACTATTCTTTTATTATTAATCTATAGAGGTAGTATGCTGCACAAGTACAGACAGTGACTGCCATACCTCCAAAATCTGATAAATTATATGGCCTACTAATTAAACCAAAACTAAACTCATTGATTTAACGGTTTCTCAAAACTACTACATTCAAGGCATTCTGTGAATTATAACTTTCACAGTTGCTTGTACTCTCACTTGAATTGGCAAGCCATCAAATAGCTGGTGTCATAACTGATCACATGTGCAGCACCATGACACTTTCAGATCAAACAGAGGCCAAGAAGGTACCTTCCAGGCTTAACCATGGCTATCAGCAATAGCAACCAGATATATTTGAGTTGACAGAACCTGACTGGCAAACTATTCACAGAGATAAAACATTATTAATAGGGTTTCACTACAGACTATATGTAATTCCTTCTAAAATACATAGAATAAAACCACTGAAATTTGCCACAGATGTCATAATGAAATAGGTACATTCCTACATATACAATTTGGACCATTCAGAATAATATAATAGCCATCCTAAATAATATGGTTGAAGCATCATTGGTACTAAACACCTAATGGGGACTGAAAACTCAAATGGGAGCAAAAGTGGCCTTTTAGCTTCCTATATTTTACTCAAGAATAATGGAACTTACTATCCCCTCCAAAAATGAATAGCTAAGTAAACATGGATTTTTCTGCAATATATATTAGACCTAATGAATAAGACTTGGCCGTGGATTGATTCTATGGTTGTTGCCAGAAACGGAACAAGAACTAATAAAACCATGTGCATATCTTGACTGTGAGAGGAGACATAGGTGGTATATGCAATAACCATTATGTGGGACAGCTCAAGGCATTGTAACCCCAAAAACCAGGTAAAAATGACCATTACACAAACTTTCTTCTGTGGAAAAATGGAGCAACATAATCCCCATGGCTGGATGGATGTAAGCTGACTAGCATCCACTTATTAATATAAAAGCATCCAAGAGGCACTGGAACTTGAAATGAGTTTATACAAGGTAGTGAGTGGACAAAAACAAACATTAAGGGAGCTCCTTGGTTCAGGTTAGGCTGTTCACAACAGACAGGGCTACCCTCTGTGGGTACCCATCAGGTCACCAGAAGAAGACAACATGCACCAATGGAAGTAGAGGTCAGGGAATAAAAGAGTTCATTTAATTTATTGGCTTACACTAAAAAAACAACCAATGCACTTTGGGGGTCTGAAGAAATTATCCATTCATCGGGGCGTTAGGTAAATTAAGAACCTTGAACTGACTAAAAGTAGGACTTCCCTGTGTGAATCTATGTATGGCAAATGATTGCTGTAATAAGATAGTTAATAGTCAGCAGTAATCTGCATGACCAATCAAAATAGACTCTTCATGAGTCTACTTAAGGTTCTTAACTGTACTAAAGCCTTGATGATGAGGGAATTTCCTTTGGCCCCGAAAGTTGGCTTGTGTAAAGCCCTGATGATAGCGCCCCAATGGGCCTGCTGGTTTGTCCCAGGTTCTCTTCCAAATAGGGTGTAAGTTCAACCAGGCACACAGTAGCTTCAACAGTCTCACAACTTAACAACCAGATGTGGAATGCCTTTTTATGTTTTAATGCTAGTTGAACTTGGTTGAGGTGCAGGGTGGGCTGTTGGATACTCCAAATACAGTGCACAAAAATCAGAGGACACTCTTAGCCTTGTCCACACTCCTCAGGATAACTTCCCTCTTGGAAGGTAATAGGAGAGCAAGCAACCCTGGAACTCCATGTAAAGGAAAGGTCACAAATCAGCAGCACCAGAGCAGATGCTGAAAGGGCTAGAAGCAGGGAATTGTCACTAGGATCCTACACTCAGGTCTGCACTGACAATATGCGGGAGCATACAGTACTTGGATGTCTTCATCCAATAGCGGCCAAAGGCTTCTCCAATTAATTCCCAGGCCAGATGTTCAGTGAATCCCCTTGATTTGAATCTAAGTATTTCCAGAATATAGCCCCCCAGCTCTCACTGAGCTGGTACCTCAAGGAAATCCTGCAGACATCATCTACACTGCCTAGAAGGGAGCCCTTCAGGGGTCTTCTCCTGGACAAGAACCCTGCTGCTCCAGGCCTCAGACTATTTATACACTACTCAGCTAACTATAGGGATTGGCTGACACTGCATAAATATTCAGGCCAAGGGTCTGCCTTTTCCAATCCACTACATTCTAGAATCCACCAGACGGCAGGGGGAAGCAGTTCAGCCTGCAGCCAGTGAGACACAGAACAGCCGAAATAATCACACCACTCCAATGATCACAGAGGAGCTAAAGAACTAGATTTACCTGAGCCTCTCTAACAACCTATTGTAGGAGCGTGCTACGGCTGTTATTTTTAGTGTAAAATAAAAAAAAAAGCAAAGAATTTAATGAAGGTCCATTTTGAAATGGTCAGGTGTCCTGGTCATCCAAACATTTACTGGTTCAGAGTTTCATACCAAAAAAAAAAATGATGGAATAGCCAATATTTAAGTGTGTATACCCTCTGTGAATAAGAACATATGCCCTTTGAGCAGCAAGAAGTCTAATGTTGAATCTTTTCTGCTGCAATGTTAAAAAATATGAATCTGTGATGACTGAAGATATTCGGTTTCAAGCATAATGGAAAGTTCACCTAGGGACTAAAGCGGAGGCACCATTAATATCTCTGTGTTACAGGATCTTTTCCAGCAGGGTACACATTGATAAAATCAGACACTTGTGAAGCCATGTTCCTGCCTCCAGAGAATGAGACTCCGATATAGCTCGTGTTCACCACATATCAGTCTGCTACAGTATCATTTGAAAAAACAAAGCTGTGAATGCTCACACACCCCATTCCTTTCCACACTGGTGGGAGTTCACCATAAAACCCAGCTCGGGAAATGAGAGGCTGGCACTATGCCAGCATGTTTTTGCCAAATAACTGACATCCTGACATTTTTTTTTTTTTCCAGATAATTTTTTTTGCATCTTCGCTTTGCCACTCCTGAAATGATATCCTGTTAACAGATCAAAGGTAACATTTACAGGCAGCCAAGCAGAAACTATGAGGAAAAATGGGGTTTCAATTTTAAGGCAGAATTAGCAGAAAAGCAAAAGTCCAAAATGGAAACGAACAGCACATCCAACGCCACTTTCAACACTGTGGATCATCAAACCTGAAATTAAAACCTAAAAACTAATTCTATATATTGCAGATTACCAATGTAGTGGCTGCATTAGTTTCCTTTCTTAGGATTTTTTTCTTTTTTTATCACCTGGCAAATTGGCCAGTAACACACTTCCCATTGGGTGGTTCCACTGCACTGGAGGAGCATTAATGCCACCGCTGGACATACACATTGACAGTCTAGGGAGAGGGTAGTGTTAGATGCACCAGCAGATATAGGTGTCCGTTTATGACACAGAGAATAGCTGTGATTCAGAGGATCGCAGCTATTCTCTGGTCATTCACAGTTT